CAGAAGATTCTTGAAATGGTCTACAAGCAAGCCCCTAGAGAACTTTTCAACTTTTTAACTCCCTTGAACCCACAACCTTCTCAATTAAGATATCTTCGGTATATTTCCAGGAGACATTTGCGTTCCGAGTGGCCCCCATCAGATACACCCTTGTATTTGGACTGTCTGACTCTTAAAGATCTTCCATCATTTGATGAAGGAAAAGGTTGCAGACCTGTTGTACGTGTTTATGGTCCAGACCCTTCAAAACCTGCCAATAGTAGAAGTTCAAAACTTATTTTTTCAACTCCAAAATCCAAAAAACATATTCACCACTACTCACAGGTGTTGTATAAATTTAAACTAATGATACTGAATTGTGAATTAATTTGATCAAATTCTTCTTAATAAATTTTAATCACAGGCAGAATGTATGCTCGTGAAAATTGATATCCATTGTCACGTTCAAGGGGATGTCATTCTTGAGTGCTTACATGTGAATGAAGATTTTACTCGTGAGGAGATGATGCTTAGAGTCATGTTCCATACTGCATTTGTGCGGTCAAATATATTGATGCTGAGCCGTGATGACATTGATATTTTGTGGTATGCAAAGGATCAATTTCCCAAGGATTTCAAAGCAGAGGTTAAATATTTTTATTCTTCTGTGAAATCCATTTTCTGAAGGAGTAGGAGTTGAACATATACTTGTATCTGTATCAGGTGCTTTTTTTGGATAATGATGCTGTTATACATGATCTAACCATAGTCAATGTGAGTGAAGATGCAAATGAGACTGAAAGTTCTTCATCTGAGAAATTCTATCAAGTAGAAGATATTTTCAGCAATGTAATTGATGCACGAGAAGGAAAGGAGGAGTATGATTCTCTTGCTTTCCATGACAATGCAGTGGATGATGAAAATTATAAAGAGGCTTGGAAAGAGAAGGTGAACAATCATGCTTTAGACAAGGGAAATAACAAACAGGTTGACAAAATGGATACTGGTATTAAGGTGAAAGACATATTTGTTGATAATGTGAAGTACAGGATCAATGAGAGCATGGATTCAAACAATGATGCAGTGAAAGACATTGCTGTGGATGAAGGAGAAAATAAGTCAAATTCTACTGCATTGGCTTCTGGTAAAATTCTGGAAACCACTGAAGTTACCTTGGACATGCACGGGGAATTGACACTTGAGCAAAACAAATACGGCGAAGATGACAAAGCAACAGAAATTGAATTAGATCCCATCCAACTCCATCCAACTAAATCTGGTAAATTACTTCTATCTTCTACAAAGAAACAACTTCCATCCAACTCAAAGCCTTTCGGTGATACAATTTCAGCAAAACCAAAGATTAAACAGCAAGAGTCACAAAGTTTTCAGGTAAAACAAGCTAAGCCGAATGCAGTAACTAGGTGGGTTCCTTCTAACAAGGGTTCTTACACAAGTTCAATGCATGTCTATTACCCGCCATCAAGGATTAATAGTGCACCAGCTGCTCTGCCAAAATTTATTGCTTCAAAGGAGAAAATGGAAGATTTCAAAGGAAGATCTTTATCTGCTCCTGCTGCTTCTATTGACATGCCAAATGACCTGAAAGGTCGTAAGGTGGCCACTTCAAAATCTTCAGGCCACATGGTACCAGAAGTAGATGCAAACTGTCCACCATCATCGTTACTGTCAATTAAAGAAACATCTCTTCAGTCAGCTACTAAAACACAAGAAGTGAGCTCAGATAAAGTGCTACGGCCTCCTCCACCGCCTCCGCCTCCGTCTCCATCACGTGCCAGAAACTCTTCTTTCGGTGCTTTTGAACATTTATCATTACAGGATGAAGCATCACCTCTTTCCCCTGCATCACCACTAGTGTCACCATCTTCCCCTTTAGGTGGAAAGGTATCTACTGCACCTCAGCCACCACCAACTTTAATATCATTTACTGAACAAAAAGTCGGGGCGAATTTACAAAATAAAGGGAGCTTTCTACCTTCTCCATCTCCTTGGAAATCTGTCTATTCATCAATTGTCATAGTTGAGGAGACAAGAGGTTCTCTTCCACTTCCCTCATCCTTCAGTGAAAATTTATCAAAACTTTCTGAAGTGCTTATTGTAACAGCCACTCCTCCACCTCCACCACCACCATTGCCTCCTCCAAGGTACGAAGTTTCATCCATTCCTCCTTCTCCAACACCACCATCAACAGCAACTCCCCCAAAGCGTGGAATTCCCGCTCTGCATACATTTTCCACACATAGGACTTCAGCCCCTCCTTCTCCACCACTGCCAACTGCATCGCATAAAGCTCCATCAGCACCCTCTCCGCCCCCACCTCCACCACCGCCACCTCCTTATAGTATTACTCCACCACCACCAGTTCCTCCCTTTAGTAAAGCCCCACCTTCACCACCACCACCTCCTTATAGTAGTACTCCACCACCACCATGTCCTCCCTTTAGTAAAGCCCCATCCCCACCACCTCCACCTCCTTATAGTAGTGCTGCTCCGCTGCCCCCGCCTCCTCCTCCTTTTAGTAAAGCTCCACTGCCCTCTCCCCCGCCTCCACCTCCTTATAGTAGTGCTCTACCACGTTCTCCTTTTAGTAAAGCTCCTCAGCCACCACCTCCCCCTCCTTACAGTAGTGCTCCGTCACCACCACCTCCTCCTTTTAGTAAAGCTCCCCTGCCACCTCCTTATAGTAGTGTTCCACCAACCCCACCTCCGCCTCCATTTGGTAGAACTCCACCAACCCCACCACCACCTCCTCCATCAAATGGAGCCCCGCCTCCACCTCCACCTCCTCCATTAAGTGGAGCTCCAGCACCACCCCCACCTCCTCCAATGCATGGAACCCCACCTCCTCCGCCCCCTCCTGGTGGTCGAGGACCACCTCCTCCTGCTGGTGGTGCACCTCCAGCCAAAGGTGCAAATGGTGATCTAAAAGTGAGAGGGCGTGGTGCAATGGCACCGAAGAGATCCGCTTTCAAGCCTCTACATTGGAGTAAGGTTACAAGGGTTTTGCAAGGAAGTTTATGGGAAGAACTTCAAAGACATGGAGAACCTCATATGTAATTTCTCTCATTCATTTACACTCTACTTATTATATCCTTATGTTTTGTATTCACTGCTTTTACATTGTCTCTTAGTGCATCTGAGTTTGATGAATCAGAGTTAGAGAAGCTTTTCTCTGCAAATGTTGCAAAACCTGCTCATTCTAAAACCGCAGGGCGGCGTAGATCTCTTGAATCTAAAACAGACAAAGTCCGCTTGGTATTCTTCCATCCTAATATTCTTCAATTTTTATATTCCAAACAACCCATGTAATTGAAGTGTTTTTGTGGTTTTCACTTAGGATGTGTTTGCCAAACTCAAAACCAGTATTAAAGTATTTAGTATTTAGTGTTTGATAAGAACAACAAAGTGAAAAAAACATTAAAAATTAGTTCTTGTCTACTCCATTTTTATGCTACAACTAGTTCTACAAAAAAAACTAATGGAAGTTGGTTTTATTATATTCCATTTTAATTATTGTCGTAGGATTATACCAACATGTGTCAACATTGAGCTCCTACTTGTTTACATTGGTCATGGATGTGTTTACTGATCATATCCGAACAAATTTTAATCACGCTGAAAATAAATTAAATTAGTTATAAAATAACTTGAGCTCATATCACTTACTACTTCATCGTAAACAGTGATATAGAATCTAAACTAGCTTTGTGGGCTGACAAACTTCCTCTCCATCTTTACTGGTAGAAGTGTAGTTCAACATGATGACAAAGGTTTCTTAAATTCAAAACTAAAATTGTATTAAAATTGGAATCAAATGCCATTTGTTTGTATACTTGGTGATTTATTTGTTAAAAGAAGTCAACTTCATTGTGATCTAATTTGAATGACCAGTTACTTTATTTTGGGAGGGAACAAATGTATGCTTTCCTTAGTTTTATTATGTCAATGAAAATGTCTCACATGGCTACAAAATGGATTAAGCTTTGTTGACCATATTGATTAATTCTCTTTGAACAACGTATATTATTCTCTTAGTGTCTCTTCACTATCTCTTTTGTGTTCCAAAAATCTAAAGTCTGAAACCTCAAAATTAATGAATTTTGGAAGTGCATAATGGTGCAGCCTTTTGGCTGTTAGTGTTTAAACTTTAAAGCCAATAGTTGTCAAAAACTCATTTATTTGGTATTTCTACAATAACTGATCAATTACTTGTATATTTGTGTTATTGAATGTAGATTGATCTGAGGAGGGCTAATAATACTGAAATTATGCTCGCTAAGGTTAAGATGCCACTTCCTGATATGATGGTAAGCTGGTTGTTTGACATTAGCAATGTTTGAAAATTATGCATGATGGTTCGTTTTTTGCTTTTTGTTTTCTTTTTTAAGCTAAAGTATCTTATAATGAAAAGACGATCCATATCATAGAGATTCGACTAGTTTTAAGTTGGTCATCGACTGCCTAACACAACCTTCACCTTCTATTCGGGCTTAGGACCGAGTATATATAGAATCAAACATACATAGACAGGTTTTATCATAGAAAAGCTGATAAAATCACTTCTTAGGTGGTTTGGACATGTGTGGAAGAGACCGGTAGAAAACCTCACTAAGGAGAGTAGATTAAATGGAGGTTTAGTTCGATTTCTAGAAGAAGATGAAACATAGGTGAAACGATTAATAAAGATTTAGAGGTCAATGGACATGATTTACGATAAAGTATTATGACATTGTTCGATTCATGCAGCCGGCCCACCTAGTGAGATTAATGTTCGGTTTTTGATGATATCTTATAATGAAAAGTACTCTTTTGCAACCAAAAAAAGCATGGCAGTGAATTTTTTTATCTGCACTGAGGATATTTCTTGAAATATTTATTATATGTGTGTAGTTAATACTATAGGCAGTTGATAGTGGATATTGTCGGTAACAATCTTTTGCCATATCATGTCTGCTAAAAATGGGCCTATTATCTAACATGTTAAAATGGATATTTTCAGGCCTTAGTACTGGCTATGGATGAGTCAGTATTGGATGTTGATAAGGTGGATAACCTCATTAAGTTTTGTCCGACCAAAGAGGAGATGGAACTTTTGAAGGTGAAAGCCTATGTTTTTATTCATACTTCTTAAATCTTGTTTCGACACTTTAGGGTCTGTTTGGAATTGGTTTCTAGATGGGAGGGAAGGGAAAGGAAAGGGAGGGCTTGTGAGCCATCTCACAATTTTATTTCATGGCTCTGAAGCCTTTCCTTCCCTCTATTGCCCTCCAGTAACCAACTCGCAAATAGACACTATGGGTTATCAATTCTCATGGCTGACATCTTCTGTTGCAATGGAACGTGTTCTTTTACACTGATTTGTTTGCTTTTCTAGTTTTGATTTCTCCGTTTTATGATTATTTAGGGATACACAGGTGACAAGGAGAACTTGGGGAAGTGTGAACAGGTGTGCAATGATTTACTTTAGTCACACCCGATATAGAAAATAGTTATTAACAGAAAAATGTGAGCATATAGAATTACCTGGGATGTCTTTTGTGGCATAACCATAACTGATTCTTGCCTTGGCATTCCCAAGGTTCCATGAAGGATGATTAAGTTGTTTTCAGAGTAAAATTCTATTTACTGCATTAATGATGGAATTACATTCCCATGTGATTTGAATGGAAATATAAATGCACAATAAAGATAGAGCTATCTGTAAAGGTGCTTTGGCTACCCATCACTGCTTGCTTTAAAATCTGGAAGGGGGGTGGGAGGAATGATGAAGAAATGATGTAACCAATTGCCAGAAGGAGGAGCAATTTCTTTTTAAGAATAAACAATTGGTGTAATATCAATTGAAATTCAATAATTGTGGAGCGCTGGGTATAAATTGTTCGCTTGGGAGATCATACACTAATTGATGCAATTAAATGAGACTTTAATTCTGAAAGTGAAGATAATATTATTTGATTATAACAAACAACAGGTAAAATTGTTGGTATGAGATCTAGTTGTCAAAAAGGAAATGTATATGACAATTTTGTTGCTGGTGCCTGGTTGGTTATGTAAATGCTTAAATTTAAGTAACTGCAGCTTTCTCTTTAGATGTTGGGTTGCTGACCAATTCTTATGTTTTTTGTTAATTTAGGATTCTCTTATATAACATACACACATATATATAATCATATTTTTTTATATATATTTGGTGATTTTTCAGTTTTTTTTGGAGTTGATGAAGGTGCCACGGGTAGAATCAAAATTAAGAATATTTTCTTTCAAGATTCAGTTTGGGTCTCAGGTTTGGTGACGTCAGTAACTTTTCTCAATGTTTTTGGATCTGGCCTTTTGCTTCTATTATCATATTTTCCTCTTTATGCAGGTCACAGAATTTAAGAAGAGTTTAAACACTGTGAACTCTGCCTGTGAAGAGGTGCTTTACTTATGAAACTAATAAACCTTGTGTTGCTTGTATCTCTCTGATCTTGCACTTTTCTTGGTAATAGGTCCGAAATTCTGTCAAACTGAAGGAGATCATGAAGAAAATTCTTGTTTTAGGTAATACATTGAATCAAGGAACAGCAAGGGGTAAGTATTTTTTAATTCTGGTAATGTCCTTATTTGTTATCATTATTAGATGCAATGAGTGTTCACTAAAAATTGATTTACTGCCTTTACCTTACAATTTAAGGTTTTGGTAGAAGCTGGTTCTCAAAACCAGCCAAAGTAGACATATATGGTTCCAGCTCTCTATTATTAACATTTAGATAGTCACTGGCCGGCCCTTCATATTTGGTAAAAACCAAACTCCTTAAAGCAGGTCTCAATATTCTAATTTCATTCAGGTTCCGCAGTTGGATTCAGGTTGGATAGTCTCTTAAAGCTCACTGATACTCGTGCTACTAACAATAAGATGACACTAATGCATTATCTTTGCAAGGTATAAATATCAATACTAATAGAAATAAATGAAGATATCATTTGGTCACTTACTGTTTTTTCCTATTTTGGATTAAGGTCCTTGCTGAAAAGTCACCTAGACTCCTTGATTTTCATGTAGACCTTGTTAGCCTGGAATCTTCCACCAAGGTGATGATCTATTTTTGGTTCTTTACAGTAAAAAAAGGTCTACTGTACTTTTCTATCATGGTTTATTGGTCTAGTTTTACTTTCCACCTTATTTGTAAATGTGAGCACATTCTCTCCCCTTTTAATGACTTATTGCAATGGCCTGTCAGTAGTCCAAATTAGTAGCTTAAATCTCATGGTTTTAGAAGCTCATGAACAGGAAAATGAATAAAAAATGAATCTACCTCTTTTAATGATCATCAAAGCTCACCATTGGAGGCACAATCTCGTAATTTTAGCAGTCATAACGTCTTTTCTGTCCTTTACCTGCCCAAAAAACACATGGGACTTTGGGAACACGTGTTAAATGAAAGTGGGAATTTACTTAACATTGTCATTACTTGGGCAGGTGCAAATAACCTCCTTCAACTTTGGCCAATATCACCTATGGTTTCAGTTGTGGTAATCCACTTAAAGTTTATGTGGAAATATTCCCTTTTCTTCCTTGAGTGCACAAAGTTAGAAATCTTAATTGAAAATGCAATTACCACTATTCAGAAAATCAAGTGAAGTTTCACCTAAAGCACACAGTTCATCAAGTACCAGAAAAATCCCTATTCATCTGACCCACATTTCTGTCTCTCTTGTACTTGTAATGGATGGTGGGGCTATTTTCTATATGTTGAAAAGTGGGTTGACTGCACCCCGAATTTACTCAAGGGTAAAAAGTTAAAGTGGTTATATTGTATTTAGCGAAAAAGGTATTAGTTAATGGGATTACAATGTGTATTGATTGGAAACCCCCCTTTATGCAGATACAATTGAAGTCATTAACAGAAGAGATGCAGGCAATCATCAAGGGATTAGAAAAGGTTAAACAGGAGCTTGCTGCATCTGTAAATGATGGACCTGTGTCCGACATTTTCCATAAGGTGTTTAGCTTTTTTTATGTCAGGCTCTTAGTTCTTCTTTATATCAGTGAGAAAAAAACAAAAATATGACAGAATGTTCATATACTGGTTTTCCTGCATCATGAATGTAGTTGACTATAGTTACAGCAGGTATCATCAATAATTGAAGTATCGGTGCTTACATGGTAAAAAAGTATGCTTAAAAGCTTAGACAGGAAACAACAATAACCTTCACGTATCTCATTGGTATCTCACTGGTTCCTGTTTTTTCCTGTCTAAGCTTTTCGCTTGTAAGCATACTTTCTTAGCAGCTCAGCTTTACTTAAATTCTAATGGTGATATGATTATGGAAGAGTGTGTCTATTAGCCTTTCATTTTTTAAAATTGGTGATAGGAGAAAAATATTAATCTCCATATGTTTCTTTAATCTTGCATAAACATGGGTTATATGTCAAACGGATATTAAGGAGAGTTTTATTTTTTAAACATACATACAATTTATTTAATTGAGAGTTATTTTTAACATGCATACAATTTATTTAATTTTATCTTTGTGCTAGGAATCCTCATATCAATCATTAACAATAGGTAATCACTACCACAAATAAATTTTCCATCATGTTATATAGATGGACCTAATTCTTTTCTTTTTTTTTGCTAAGCAAAATATTGTATTAAAGGAGGATAAGGGGTGCTTACCTACATACAAAAGGATTACAATGAAGATTAAATCCTATTTTTACAATAAGGCAAAATACAAGACCACACTGCCACGATCTAATCTGGATTAGATCCATAATTTGAATATAGCTAGTCTCCTTTCCTTGAAATAATACATCATTTCTCATCAACCATATAGACCACACAACATCAAATCACAACATTCTCCAATAACTCTTCCCATTTGCATTTATGGTTTATGGTTTGTTATCTGGTTGACATCATCTGACTCTAGTTTTCTTTCTCTCTCCCAATGTTCATTTCAGACATTGAAAGGTTTCATAGATGTAGCTGAGTCCGAGGTGGAATCTCTAACAAATCTGTATTCTTTGGTGGTAAGTAATATCCTTAACCATGTTTTCGTACATTATGCAGAAATATAAAGATAAAAAGGTTGTGCAATTTGTCTGTGGGCAGGGTAGAAATGCAGATGCACTTGCACTATACTTTGGTGAGGATCCTGCTCGTTGCCCATTTGAGCAAGGTAAGTTGAGGATTAATACTTATTCATGTTGTCAGTGTGACATGCATTGGTTTTCTCACTGGTGATTTATCTTATCAAGTTATGGTTCATTAACTTCATTTAACTGATGCTTATGGGGAAAGTACACTTTCATGGCCTGTTGCATTTGTAGCTGGGACATGTGTGTATTACCTAGAAATTTGGCTGATCTAGAAGTGTGGTTTTCTTGTCTATGGATAAGGAAAGTGAGTGTAAGTTCTTAATGTTTCTAATGGAATCTGCACCGAGTTACTTCAAAGCTTTCTTTGAAGTGATAAGTCTGGAAATAAGTTGCTCAATTGATAGAAAACCATGTCCTCCTTGGATCCTTGTTTAAGCAAAAGAAAGTTGACAGAAGCACGGAGGGTGAGAGAGAGAATAGTCAAGAAATAATAAGCCAGATCCACAGAAGGTTACTTCCCTTGACATGTGTGTTACTGTGGTGCCAAGTTAGAAAGTGTTACTTATTTGTTCTTAAATTTTTATTAACTATTCCGTTGTGGAATATTTGTTTGGTATTTTTGGAGAGTGCTGGGTCTCCCATAGGTCCCTTGGACTTGTTTCAGTTGACTAGTTTTGGGAGGAGAATCTCTTATCCTCAGCTCTATTTTTTTATAATATATTTCTTGTATATCATAAAAAATAACTAAAGGGGAAAAATCAATGGGGGGACTAAATTCAATGAAGTTCCATAATCCATGTGTGTTTCTGTTGCTATGTTTGAAAAAGGTGCTTATATGTTCTTTTATTTTTTCTCTAATTCTCAAGCTAACTTCTTATTGTTGCTTGTTTTATGGTTGCAGTTACTGTAACTCTCTTAAATTTTGTGAGGTTGTTTCGGAAAGCACATGAAGAGAATTGCAAACTAGCAGAGTTAGAGAAGAAGAAAGCTGAAAAAGAGGCTGAAATGAAGAAGGCCAAGGGAAAGACAAAGAGGGGCGCAAAAGATAGTTGACAATTGGGTTATTCCCTCCTTTGCTTTGACATCATGCTCCCGATGAAGAGCAGGAAACTACCGATGGTAGTAAGGAACTCCTTCGGAAACCAGTTAAGAAGTCTCCCTTTCCATCATGATGACTACGCGAAAATTAGCATTT